CCTTCTCCTCCATTCTCCTCTCAGGATCTTGGGCACGCATGCACACACGCCCAGCGTGAGTTTAAGCCACCGGGTCTGGGACTCGAACAGTGGTCAACTACATGGGAGTCCAGCAACATAGTCATTACACCAACTGCTGGTCCCAAGGTTAAAGATTTGTTGCAGTGTAGGGTACTAGGGTGAGTTGGAGAGTTAGAGGTCAGAGATGACTGAAATTTTGAGAAGTAGTTTGGAATATTACTAGTGATAACATTGTAAGATGTCAATGCATGGCTAAAGTGAGGGGGATGAGATGGAGACGATAGTGGCTCGCAGGTACCTGGCTGCCTACTCTGGGGGTGAAATGTATGGTGGCATGGGGACATTTGATGTTGCAATGATTGCAGGCTGGGGGAGCTATGATGCCAGTAATTAGTGGGCAAGGTGTAGAGAGGCATCTCATCACACACAGAAAATAGATCTACCATAAATGGCAAGAAAGTCCAGTTGAGAAACACTGGGCTAGGGTACTGAAAGGGCCATCTGCAGGAATGAGAAGTCATTGAAAATGATGACAGGAAAAGGTCAAAGAGGAAGAGCAGCAGATGATAGTGATGGGGGGCGAGCAGCTGGTAGAACTGGATATCACAGGTTTTCGTGCAGTTGGAAGCGTTTTTTTTTTTTTTTTTCAAGGTTTTTGCTTAAGGGTGTGTGTGCTCACTGGAGAGTGAGCAAGAGAGACAGACAGTGAGAGGGAAAGTGAGAAATTACCCCCCAGAGGGATGGCCACACCGTAACTCCCTCTCCTTCATTCTCCTCTTGGTATTTTGGGCACATACACACGTCTGGTGTAAGCTTCAAGCCACTGGGTCTGCGACTCAAACTGTGGTCGGCCATGTAGGAGTCCAGTGACATAACTGCCCTGCCATCTGCTGGCCCAGGAGCTGAAGGTTTTGAAGGAAAGAAATGACTGCAATGGAGACTGAGGGCACATATGCCGAGAGAGGGAGCCTCTCAAGGGACGGCCAGATTTCAGATGGAGCAGAGGTAAATAAAAATTAGGGAAAGTGGAGTCTGTTGGGATATTTGCTGGTCACAGACTGATAGTTCCAGAGGGCACACTGAAAAGGGGGACAGTAGGATGAACAGGGGTGCTGGCCAGAGGAGGGCATATAGAGTGGTGGGGATGAAGGTGTGGGGATAGATGACCTGGGAGACTTGGGCTTTTGGTGACAGTCGAGGTCAAAAGGATGACCCCTGTGGCTGTAGCCCCTGGTGGCCTCTCACAGGAAGATGGGTATCACTGAAACAACAGTTCAGAATCCTTAGTTCATAGATCATGGGCTTCTAGGTAACTACTCCCTGCAGCAACCCTAGAGTTCAAGTTCATGCTTCATGTTTATTGGAGTGGGTACTGAATCATTTATATGGGTTGAGTCCAACTCAGTAACAATTTAGAAAATTCTACCATACCTCTACTGATGTTTGGAGGGGAGTTGACTACCCATTCACATGGAGACTGCCTGACAGTTACCTCATCCAGGAAAACCCCATTTCTATGGGTAGAGAAGGCTTGAGCCATACAGAATTAAGTCTATGGAATAGAGCAATACTTTTCAGTATACTTGCATCACCTGGGAATCTTGCTAAACTGGTGATACTGATTCAGTAGGTCTGGGTGGGCCAGAGTCTCCATTAGAAAAGCAGTCTCTATTTTATAGGGCCAGCAGGTAGTACAGTGGTTAAGGTACTGGACTCCCACATGGTCAACCACAGAGTCCTGGACCCAGCAGCTGCAAACCGGCTCTGGACACATGCGCAAGCTTGCCCCAGATCCCAAGAGAATGGATTGCAGTGTGGCCATCTCCCTGGAGTAGGGGGGTGACTTCTTGCTTTCTGTCTCTCTGTTGAAAGCATGTGCCCTAAAGCAAAAATCTCTTAAAATCTCCATTTTAGAAAAGTTCTCTTTGGAAAGAGTAGAAGCTTTAGAACTTGAGAGGTATAAAGCAGGCTTTTCCTATGCCTTCTGTGGTCTTGGACAAATGACCTTTCAACTGTCTTTTGTAAAGCTTTTGCAGTAATGTCATAGGCTGTCTTAAGAAGTAAGGCATGTCAGTACCCAGTACAGGCCCAAGTGCACAGCAAGGATTTTCCTTTCGTCTTGACCTGAAAAACCACTCTCCAGATTGAAGGTGACAACCTTTTTGTATTTGTGGGGACACTGGTGTTTTGTGGCTTCCGTTCATGGATCCCAGCAGAGAGAAAAGTGTTTTATTTCTTTAGGCCCAAGTCTGGTAGCCCTGGCTGCCTTAGACCTTGTTCTGCTTTTGTAATCTGAAGACCCCAAATCTGATTCGAGTGGATATTCACTGGCCATGCAAATGGAAGGTCCTAGATAGGCCAAATTGCTTTTCCTATTTGTTCCTGGCTCCCCCTAAATGTGAATTCTTCTTCCATGGCAGAGTACAGCAGCCTCACTTACTCCACCTTGAGGAGTATGGCTTAGCAGCTTCGGCAACTGCTCCTGAGTCCATCTGTTCACAACGCAGTAGGGACAGTCCATTGTGTAGCTGGGATTTCAGAAGGTACCAAATACTCAAGCCCACGGATCATCTGGGAGTTTGGGGCAATGCTTTCCCTAACCACAAAGCCCACTAGGTGACTAGGAGTATTCAGTAGAACCAGACAATTGAACTAAAGGAGAGGGCCAGGCATCGGGAAGGAGCTCAAGGACGGCAGCTCTATTTCTGTTCTCAACAGCTTAGGAATGGTACGTTCTTGTTTGGGATCCTGAAACTTTCCCAGTCAGGGAAGGGCTGCAGAGAACAAGTGGGCCCATCTAGTCTCTGGAAAATGACTGACTTCTGATCAGGTCGAGAGGAGGCTCTTCTCAACATTCTCTAGCTTTTCTCTGGAGCTGGCATTCACATTTCCTATGGAGAAGCAAAGTGTGGTCCTCTTTGGGAAGGTTTTCCTCTTGGAGAAGGGATGGAAGGGCTGAGTTCTCTGGGTTTAGAATCCACAAGGAAATAAGTAGCTGCTTGCCACTAAATTACCTCTTGGAAAATTTAGTAAGAAGTGGTTAATCTTTATTAGCACAGACTTCTGCAAAGTTAGAGTAAGGCCACTTAGGCAGTAAGAACTTTGGGAGCAAATGATGGGAAAAGAAAAACCACTGTTCTGTATACTTAACATTCTCTCTGCAGATAAAACCCTGCAGTTGCTTATCAGATCTGACTGTAAACTCCGAATTACAGCCTACTAGGCACGTATAGCACTATGTGTGTGTGTGTTAGTGGTTGGGGGGAGTTCCCCTTCAGAAAAAATGAGTTGTAGATTATTTGTACTTAGCAGAGGTGGACAGGCATTGACAACCACAAAACACTGCTATTATTAATACTTAATTCAAGGGAAGTGCTTGAATTGGTGGATGGAATTATTAGCTTGGTGCAAAAAGGCCTGTGGAGAGAAGGCAAACAGGATGGAGGTGCCTAGCCACCCAGGGTCCTGCTGGCTTGCTGCTTCAAGATGGGGGAGAGAGTGCACCATGTGTGCACGTGTACGCTGTTTCTGCAGGTCGCTCTCATACTTCCGGGGGAGTCCCTTCAGGTCTGCCCTGCCCTGCCCTGCCTCATTCTCCAGAAGCTAGATCTGGCACCTGCCACCTATGAGCAGGTGTGGCTATGATCTCTTTGACACTTAAGGTGCTGGCTCACAAACCTGAGTGCAATAGAAATACATGTGAGTAAATGTACATGAGGAAGACAAGGTGGAAAGGGGCTGGCTATTATCCCACAGAGTAGATGGGACTCTTTTTTTCTTTTTTATGTTGCCAGAGAGCATGTATACTTGTTGGAGACAGAGTGGGACAAAGTGTCCATCACTGGAGTGTGGTTGTGCTACAATCCCTTCTCCATTTCTTTACTCTGTTGGGATTTGGGGCACATGGGCACATGTGTCCAGGTTGCATTTCCAACTGCTGGGGCAGGGATACAAACCATGGCTGGCCATATAGGATCCAGCTCCCTTACCTAGCAGGCTATGGGGCCAGTCTGAGACTCTTGGGTTTTAAACATAACCTCTCATTTCCCACCCCAAACACAAATATACAACAGTTGTAGTCTCCTGAAGGTCAGAAAGCACTATAAGACATTTCTTATAAAAGTATTTTTTTAATAAATCAATGTATTTCAATGTTGTAACATGATAGCCCAATGCTATATCAAGGTAGCAAAAGTGAAGATTCCTGGTATTTTATATAAACACTATGAATGACAGCACACTTGCATTCAACTTCACAAGAAATTCTCTTCGGAGTCCATGAAGACTTTGACAGCTGTAACATCTTTCAAACAGTGAAGATGTATGTGTATCGACTGAGCAGACAATGAAGGTCTAATAACTGCGCTGCACTCTAAAACTGTACTGAAAAGGGGATACAATGGCAGTATGGCCAGCTTGCTGAACAAAACTCAAGTCTTTCAAATGTAATTGTTTAAAGAAAACACAGCATGTATCAAAAGTACAGAAAATCTTACAGAAATGGAGCCATAAGGAGACACGCAGATTAGAACCCTGAAGCAGTGAATGTGTTTTCTACCCGTTTTGTGATGGAAAGAAGCCATGGATAGAGTCCTGCAGCTGTCTGTGGTGGTCAAGCTCCTCTCAGACACAATGCTATCGAGTGACTCAAACCAGAATTCCCTGCTCTGTACAAGTGCTGGTGATGGGTAACTTGCGCTATTGCTGTGGGTCAGAGCAACAGTTGGCTGGAGTTCAGGCATCAAGTGGAGGCTCTCCGAGATCATACCACACCTGTCTACAACCCCACAGGTCACTGTCCAAAGCTGATGCCCCCTTCTAAAACAAAACAAAACAAAACAAAACAAAACAAAAAACAAAACAAAACAAAACAAAACCCAAGAGTACCTAAAACAAACAGTGGAAACCAGAAGCTTCTGACCCCCTAACGTGGTGTTACTATCTAACAAACCAGAAGAAATATGTTTTGCCTGGTTACAACAAAGAGAGTATCTGACTCCATTGTACCACATGAATGTAATGACCACATTTTTGGTACGGGATTTTTCTTAATAGAAATCAGGTTGAGAAAATGATTCTTTTCCTCTGAGGGTAAGGAAAGTTGGTTAAATGCTAGCTAATTAAATCCAGTCTCAATTTTGAATTGTAGAGAGGGACCTGACTTGAATAAGGTTTTCTAAAATAAGACAATTGCTTATTTTTCAACCCTAGGCATAATTAGATTGCAAGGAATCTTATGTCCAGAATTTTATCTGCTGTTATTATAATTAGCCTTAGGCTACTGCTGATTTCTACTAGGACCCTTTACACATTTTAAACTCCAAATGCTGCAGATGAAAGTAAATCCAACAAAATAACAGTAAAACCATGTGTGTGTGGAGTTGCTGGATTCTGCATGAGCAGACAGGATGTTCTTGGGTATTCACGAGATGTGTCTAACTACTGGTTACTCCTTGGTATCAGCAGCCCAGGTTTAAACCATGTGCAGGTCAATGGATTAGAGAAAACTGTAATCTATGTTATTTTAAAATCCCAAGGAACTTGCATCAAACATTTTCTACTAACCTGGGTTTTGGTGACGGGAATCTTCTTCTTCTTCTTTTTTTTTTTAGTAAACAACTCACTGCTAGGGCCATAGTGTTTTGTTCCAAATCTCCTTTTAGCCCTGAACCAAGCCAACAGTCCATAAAGGTCCTATTTTCTTTCTTCTTTTTTTCATGCCTCTTAAAACAAGTGCTCTGCCCCCTAAAGAACTGAGAGTGATTTGTAAAGGCTTTCCTCTCAGGAAACAGAACAGTCAAAAGCATAAATTAGGTTAAGTGGCTTAACATTCCTCAGGCTATCGCTTATAACCCAAGGTTTATTTCCCCTATGCACAGGGTGTGTTTAAGTTGATAAAATGAGTCAAAATCAGCTTATGGAAAAGTTAAAAATGTAGTTTACTGAAAGATACTGGTCTTCACACACAGCAACAGCAAACAATCCGATCTAAAAGTTTAAATGTAAATTATGGTAACACTAACAATGTATATAAAGCTGAAGTCACTGCCTTGGAAAATTTATACACTGCATCCAATATTTTATGTAGGACATTCATTCTTAAGGCAGAAAAATTGAATTTGACATGTAATAACTTGGTTCTTACATCTAAGGGTCAAACTGGGAGTAGACCTGAACAGACAGATTTACTAATGAGGATTTATCTGTGGTGACAATTTGATTCCTAGAGTATGTTATGTAATAGACATGCACTGGGAGAACATAAAAATATGAATTTTAAGACATACAAATATGATTTTTCAATGAGAGGTCAATGAAACTAGACATCCTAGTATGAGGTGAAACTACTCCCATAACAAACAAACAGTGACATACTTCTTTTTGATATGGTACATAAAAAGTATGAAAAAATCAAATAATTACCTTTTGGGGTATGTTACTTTAGACTCTAGTTTTTAAGGTCTAGTATAAAAGGTAGCCTGAATAGTTAAAAGCAGCTGAATGTCAACTCATACTGCGACTCAGAAGGTTACACTCAGGCTATTCATACCCCGTCAATAAAATCCTATGCAGGGGGAAAATCAGTATGTAGTAAAATATAAACAAAGCCCCTCTCCCAATACATGTGCAAAAACACTGTCAGTTACTAATAAGAATGTATCAATGAAAAAACATTCTAACTAGAGAATCAGAGGCATCAAAGCCAGAAAGACACAGAATGTGCCATCCTGCTTAGTTGGACGGATACTTGGGATGAAATCAACCATTCTCGGGGCACCCTGGGAGATGTGCTATTAAGTGGGAGGGAGTGTGATGAGGAAGGAGACCCAGGGTCTCCAGCCCTCAGGGCTGTGTGTGCTCCTTTACCTCAAACCAGTTTGGGTCTCTGCATCCTGGTGCCAACATCAGCGAAAAAACAGAAATCTGAAAGATAATTCTTAAGCAGGTGATGGTGATTGTAACTTTTTGTGTGCCTATTATTTATGCCCTAGCTCTGGCAATTGTCAGAAGTGTACAAAGATTACCTGCCTAAGTTTGAAGACATGAAGAGTTTCTTCTTTCAAGGTGGCAGGAGTCCATGCAAGATTTGTAAACAGCGATACAAAATACTGTAAACATAACTTAACAGAGCTTGTATAAAACAGAAGTAAATCCAGATTTACAGGTGGGTTTAAAAAAAAAAAAAAACGAACGAAAAACAGAGGGCAGATTCATACAAAGTTCTCCCTCCTGTGCCAAGTGACTTTTTTTTTTTTTTGATTACAAATATAATCCTGAGCTGTAAAACTGGGATTTGGGGGAGAGCCATTGTTGCATACAAAATGTCCAAAGGACGCTTACTGTTTACTTTTCTCTAGTGATATTCAACTGCCAGAGACAGTTCTGAATGTGTGACTTTGGAGACATTTATAGCTTAGTGTGACGGCTGGGTCTGGAGCCTGCTGCAGTGCTGGCCATGGAAGCTGATGCAGCAGCGTCCTCTGCTTCCTCTAGCTCCTCCTGGAGCTCCTGGCTGACACTAGACTGCAGGGCTGCAGGAGTGAGCCACTCCTTTGGGAGGCAACTCTGTAGAAAGGGGATGCAGGAGCTGAAGTAGGCAAGTCGATTGATCCAGCGAGGAATCTCTTTCCCACATAGAATCTACAGAGGAGAAAGTTCTGCATTAGGCAAGAGAGGTTGCAGTTATCTGGTTAACTGCCAAAAGGTGGAGGAGGGAGGAGAGAGGTGACTATACAGAAAAGCCTGCTCAGAGCTACCAAGCAGCACCTTAGCTTGGAAGCCTGGGGTCCCTCATGTCATAGCTACATTCCTTCTTTCCTTCCTTCTTTCCTGAAGATCCTTGTCAAGCTGCCTGCTTTTCGTATCTGCAAAATCAAGCTAATTCCACTTGGCTTTCTTTTTTTGATCTTTGCATCTGCTTTGAGACACATAAAAAAGTATTTTGAACAATGCAGAAGAGGCTAGTTAATACAGGGTGGTATTCAGAGTAATAGAACATCTGGGCCCTTGGCACAGTCAATCTTGGATAGTTCCTTACTGTAATTCTCCTTTTCCACAGACGCTTTTCTATTTTCTGGTCTCTATTACTCCATTTTTCTTGTCCTGCATTTTACCCCCCTTTTGTCCTGACCCACTTGTTTCAAGGAGCTCACACCGAATATGAAAGAATGTCTCTCCAAATGAAGACCTGGCTCCATGATCCTTTTGTGCAAATGGGGCTATTATCAAAATGAGATCTGGTAGCCTGGTTGAGCTTTGGTATGAAGGCTAATAAGGCAGAAAAAGGGTGTCTGGAGGAACCGCTCCCAGCCAATGACCTGTTGTATCACTTTTCACTTCCCATTTGTCCTCATGTCTCCTAAGATCCCTCCCAACTAACTGCTACAGTAAGAACTGGGTCTCTTTTACTGACTTAGTAGCCTCTTTCCTTTCTGTAGGAACTGAGTCCATGCTCTGTTGTCACCCTGGTGTTTCTGTCTCCAATTATGCAGAAAATTATGATCATGTGATATGGAGGAGCCATATCATATTTCAGAGTTGGGGTAGGGTTTCCAAGACTGCCCCAGGTTTGTTTTTCTTTTACTCATGGTGGGAACTGGGGTTGGGGGTCGGGTAAAGAAGATAGAGAGAAAGGTGTCCTGAACACTGTCTCACACTGTAATCTCCCCCCTCCTCCAGCCTCTCGGCTAGGCAAGATTACAGGCATGTGCCTGGTAAGCACAAAATGACAGGGAACCCATCCTTTTATCTCTCACTTGGCTGCAGCAGCATGGACAAGGGCATTACGCCTGAACCACCATGGCTGGGCCAATGTACAAGCACTAAGGGATCTCTCGCAGTAGAATCGCATAGGACACATTTAGTTCCCCAAGGATGAATTGCAACAATAGATATGAAATATCTACCAGAAAAGTTCATTAGACTACATGCCCAAATATTTTTGTTGGGGACTGGCCACTTGGAACCCTCTGTCCAGCATGTAACAAAATTTCAGACTGCCAGAGGAAAAACAGGCATTTACCATAAACAAAATGATTTATACAAACAAATGAGCCACTTTAATTGGTCTAGGAATGGTGCAAACCCTCCTAACGTTCGGGTTTTCATATGCTACTGTAGGGCCAACTCTGTGGGCAGGTTTATTTTTAAAGAATTATTTATTATTATTTTTTAATTTGTAAAAGGGCACACATGTTCACCAGAGAGAGACAGACAGTGAGTGTGAGAAAGCAAGCTGCAAGGTCCAGGACTCAAACTGGTTGGCCATGTGGGAGTCTAGCACCTTAACCACCATGCACCTGCTGGCCTCATCTGTAGGCAGGTCTGAAGGACAGCAGTCTCAGGTCTGCAATGTTAATTCTTTTGTGCACAGGAACCAACTTTTTTTCTTTTTTCTTTTTTTAATTTGCAAGAGCATACATGTGCTTGCCAGAGAGAGATGGGAGAAGGGGGTCAATTGAGAAAGTGCTCTCCCATAGGGGATGCTCATGTCGCAATCCCTTCTCCATTCTCCTTTCAGGATTTTGGGCACATACACCTAAGATTCTGGTGTGTTTCTCAAGCTACAGGTCTGGGGACTTGAACTGTGGAAATCAGTCATGTGGGATCCAGCCACCTTAACCACCATGCCCCTGGTTGATCCCCAACTCATTTCTTGGAAACTATTAAGTAAAGCCAAAGAATCAAACACCTATCTAACTTTTCTTTTTTTAGAAGGTTTTTTGCCACAAAATGTATGCCTTTGCAGAAAGAGAAAGTAAAAAATCTCCCCCAAAGGGAGTGACTATCTCTTCCTTTCTCCTGTTAGGATTTCAGGCACACGTGTCTGCAATGTTTTTCAAGCCACTGGATCCAGGACTTGAACTGGTGAGTTGGCTATATGGGATCTAGCTGCCTTAACCACAACACCACTGGCTGGCCCCTCTCCTGCCTTTTCTATGTGGGCTTGTTTAGATTCGGATTCAAACTAACTGTTGAAAGATTAAAACATGGGGCTAGCAGGTGTTGTGGTGGTTAAGGTGCTAAATTCTCAAATGGCTGACAATAGTTTGAGTATTGGACCTGGTGGCTTGAGAATTACACTGGGTATGTGTTCATGCCCAAAATCTCAAGAGGAGAATGGAGGAGAAGGGGCTGCGTTGTGGTCATCTTCCTGGGGGTGTGTGTGTTTGTGATTTCTTACTTTCCCTCTCTTTTTCTCTCTCCAGTCAAAGCACAAGCCCTGAGGCAAAAACTTAGGGGAAAAACAAAACAAAACAAAACAAAAAACTTAAGAAACTGTCAGGGCCTAAACAAAGTTTTCCATAGCCATCTTTGATAATCATTTTCTAATTAGGGCCAGTTTTTTGGCCAGTAAAACAAGGAGACTAGATTAGATGCTGTGAACTGAAGCAGGCAAGACTCCATCTTGGAGGAGGGCCTCCATTATAAACTGTTAAATTCCTATGACTAGAATCTTGCCTTCTCCTTTTCCCTAAAATGATTAACATTCCTTTTGCCCTTAAAACCCCACTCCTCCTAGTAGCCTTAAGATAGAAGCTCTAGTCCTCAGACTTTGCCCTGAGCAGTGGAGACCAGTAAGATGCTCCTGTGTTTAGGCAAGGAGGAACATACCCTTAGGGATGATTAGCCTGTTCTGTTTGTTCTGCTTCTGTAATGGCTTTTACACTGTAAAGGCCTACCCCCTACCCTTTCAAACCTACCACTCTTTGTTCTTGTGATTGCCATGTTGACCCAGAAAAACTTGTGATCTTTGCCTTTATAAGCATCCTTCTCCTTTCACTTGGGGATGTGGGGTTTTGAGAGACATGAGTCCCCCATGTGCCTTTGGCTTAATCAATAAATTTTAATAAATTTGGCTATGTCTGGATGTCCTCTTATTTTTCGCTGATTAGACTATAACAAACTATCTCTGTAAATTTTTTTTTTTTTGGGGGGAGAGGTGTTTTTTTTGCTATAGGGTGCGCCAGATAGAGAGAGACAGAAAGTGAGAAATCACCCCCCAGGGGGGATGGCCGCACCTCCATTGATTGTTCCTCATTCTCCTCTCAGGATCTTGGGCACACCCGCACATGTGCCCAGCTTGAGTTTTAAGCCACTGGGTCCAGGACGCAAACCGCGCTCAACTACACGGGAGTCCAGCAACATAGCCATTATGCTAACTGCTGGTCCCTTATCTCTGTAAATTTAAAAATTCTAAGGATCTTTGACTATATTCCCTGTGAATATAATGTCTAGGGTCAAGCCTGCTCAGAACCCCTCCTCCCAAAATTGACTAGGTCACTGCTATGGTATCTATGCCTCCACTAGACTAGGGTGTTTCTCAAACTTTTGTGTTGTAAATCACCTGGGAATCTTGCTAAAGTAAGGATTCTGATTGCAGTCCATCTGTGGTGGGGCAGAACCAATGCTTGTCTCTCAAATTCCTAGGTGGTACTGATGCTGTTGGTGTGTTAAATACACCTTCAGTAGCTGGGTTAGACCACTATAGTCCTGTTTGAAAGTAATGTGTAGGAGCCCTGAGGGAAGTAAAAGGAGGCTGGGTACCTAAGCATTTCTGCAGAGATAACTGAAACAACAGCTCATTTTCTTTCTTTCTTTTTTTTTTTTTGGAGAGTTTTTTTTTTGCTGTAGGGCGCGTGCACTCTCCAGACAGACAGAGACAGACAGAGAGATAGAAAGTGAGAAATCACCCCCCAGAGGGGATGGCCACACCGCAATCCTTCTCCTCCATTCTCCTCTCGGGATTTTGGGCACACACGCACACACACCCGGCGTGAGTTTAAGCCACCGGGTCCAGGACTTGAACCACAGTTGACTATGTGGGAGTCCAGTGACATAGCCATTATGCTAACTGGTGGTCCCGTCAACAGCTCATTTTCTTTCACACCTTTCACAATTTCTTTGATTCCTTGATGCTGCAACCATCTGCTAAAAGAAAGCTGAGAAGGTGTTCCAAGTGCGATTTAATTTTCTATACCTTATTTTTACGATCTTTTGATTTCTTCCTTCTATTCTTTCTTTAATGGTTCTTTAATTTTGATCTAGTTTTGATCTTCTGCTTGAGATCTAAGAATTAAGAGGCAAGTGCCTATTTGTTATGTTAGCAGAATAAAATTTTAAAACAGAAGAGATAAATTATTAATAAGCGCTAGGAAAAAATTCAGGTTGGCAACTAAAGTTTGGTGAAAGAGAAATTCTAGTGGCTTAAATAGTCTCTTGGGCATTTATTTATTTATTTGTTGTATCAATCATAATATTCCTGGAAATAAGCAAGAATTTAGGCTGTAATAAACTGAATTAGATTAAGAAGAGACAATATCTGTACCCGCTCTCTCCCCTCTGCAAAGTAATGAACAGAATTATTTAAAATTGTGGTGACTCTAAAATGACCAATTCTGGAAAGGTCATTCATATGAAAGAGAAATATAATATCACATCTTATACAACACAAATAATCAAGGGAAAAAAAGAGTCAAGATTGAATAGACTGAATACAATGCGACAGTAAGTATACTAGTAAATGTTATCTGAATAACCTGTAGGGCAAAATATAACTCACCTCTGATAAAGCTGAAGAAAAGTGATTGCAGTTTTTATGCATCAAATGATAGGCATTGCCTTTGTATTCTTTTCCCAGTTCTTCTACAATTTTTTCTATATCATCTTCTAGGAAGTCAGTGCTCCCTAAAACAACAGCTTCTCTTAAAGAAAAAAGAAAAAAAAAAAAAAAAAAAGAAAAGCATGAAAACAAAGACACACCTGTGTGAGTTTCAGGTATTTATAATACATGTCTAAAGACTTGCTTATTTCCAGGAATATTATAATTGATATAACAAAGAACGGTTAATATAAGAAGACTTAAAAGGTAAATAAAATACTTTTACAATCTCATTTATTTTAGTTTCTATTTTCTGTAGTAAACTCTCAAGTACACTACTCCTGAAAACTATAAATGCACAATGATTATGAAATAATGTCATTATATTAAAATGTAACACATCAGTTATTTTCACATCTATCATATTAGTAATTATGTTATTAGATAACTGGATTCATGTTGCAAATATTCCTGCTTAATTATACTTGCCATCAAATGGCTGGCCATAATCTCACTTATAAACAAACTTTTTAAGTGTTCTGCCACTGTGCTGTGGTGAGATAAACTGTCATTCTTGACTGAATTTTTTAAAAAAGCATTATCAAAAGAGTGGGAAAAAAAAAAGGCCCAGCACTATTGTCTAATGGTTAAAGGAGTTGTATCCCACATGGCCAACCATAGTCTGAATGATGGCCTTGGAGATTAAAAAAAAAAAAAAAAAAAAAAAACATGCTGGGTGCATGTATGTGCATGCCCCAAATCCTAATACGATGGATACATGGAGAAGGGATTGTGACATGACCACACCCCATCGGGAGGTCCTTTTTCCCTTGCCACAAAAAACAAACAAACAAAAAAACAACATAAAAAACCCCCTGTAAACTACTGTTTTGGAAATGCAATAGACATTATTCAAGACAAAGTGGAATTTTAAGTCAAATACAAGTTAGGTATCCAAGAAAGCTGAAAATATTTAGAAAACTTTTTTATTAAGCAGTCTTGCTAAAAGGGAGACTGAAGGAATGAATTCAGAATGACATTATATAGCTTTCCTGTGTGTAATCAGTATAATTCAGTGCTATGCTAAGAGAACCATGAACTTAGTAGCCCCATACTGAATTTCAATGTTATAACCTTATTTCACTATTTTTCACTTGGTAAGTTATCTATTATAAGCCCAGAGTTTCATTAAAGCTCCTTGAAACTAATATCCTAAATATCACTTTAAATACAAACCTTAATTAAGGAATGGAAATTTGATTATTAACATTCAGATTTTCACTGTCATATACTACTGATAAGGTTCCAGAGAACACTCAAATCCATACATTTTAGGTTTATCATTACATGTTATACCCTAAAATTAATTTCTAGTTTAGTTATTTCAAATTTATCAACAGTGTTTCTTTCATTAGAAAAATAAAGAGGTTTTTAAAGGTGTAGGTAGGTTACAACAAGACTCTTCTCCTCCAAAACAGGAGACTGGGAGGAAAGAATCAGTCAGGAAAGTTTTTTTAAAGCAGACCATTTTAAAAGTAGAATAACATAGGGGTCCTGAATAAAATCAAGAGGCTATTTCAGATACTTTATTTGGCTGACTCCCATCTTTACACAATGACTTAAATAATTTAATTTTAAAGTGTCAGCAACTAAAAGTTAAACATTTTAGTTTCTTGGATTTTAATCTACAGAATGAATTCTGTATGCCTAAAAACAAGCTCTGGTACCTAAGACAGTGTAATAAAAATTATCCTCCCTACTTACTTAAATTTAAATGTTTCTCCTAGTTCAGAAGCATTTCCTGGGGAAATTTCAAATATTCCAGAAAAGGGGTAAGGATGGCCACCATAAGCAAATTCTGAAAAGAGAAAACTCATGATTTTTAGTATTTATCACATTAAAACTTGACCAATGCTGAATTAGCTTAATAAATGATGAGGACAATAATATACCAATATTTTTCAATTTATAAAATGCTTTCATAAACATTTCATGTAGTTATTAGAACAGTTGTCACAAAAGACCTGAAACTTCAGTACAGAAGACACTAGAGGTAACCTTGACTGCCATGTTTACTTAGGTTATACCAGCACAGGAGTAACTGACACTCAAAGGTAAATAGTCTCTCTACATCTCTATCATGAAAAACTAAGTAGGGGGCCAGTTCTGTGTTTGCCAGCTTCTAAATTAAAGTGATCTAACTTTAAACTCATACTTTACTGGAGAAACAGTTTTATAACAGTGAGTTTTCATGGTTCTTGGGTGAAGACTCTTGGCTTATCTTTGAGTTACAGTAAAACATTACCAAACCCAAAACATTAAATACAACCCCACCTTATTCAAGAAAATAATAAATTGCAAAATTAACATATAACCTACCCACATACAGACATACACACTCTCCACAGCAAATCTTTTACTTAGGAAAGAGCTATCTGCACTACTGTCAATGTATGTTCAGCTCTTTTTATATAAACCCAGAATAAAAGACATTTTTGCCTACAAAAAAAGAGTTCTGGCTACAATTCTGCTATCTGGCCTCTGTGATGTAGCTGGTAGCATACTGAACTGCAATGCTGGAAGCTATATGGCCACTATGGTTCTTTATCCCTGGCCCAGTATCCTTGCAAGCTGAAGGACTGGAGGAAGGAGACTGAAGCATGACCAGATTCTATGAAGGGTGTTCCTCCCTCCCCCTCTCTTATGCATGCATAAATAATAAAGAAAAAAAATTAAAATTCTGTTGTAGATTAAAAAAAAAAGAATTATTTTAACTTTATTTATTATTATTATTGCTATTATTATTTTCAGTTTGATCAGAGAGAGAGGGAAAGTGAGAAAGTAAGCCACCAGGTCTGGGACTCAAACTACGGTATCCATGTGGGAGTCCAGTGCTTTTAAACACCCACCACACCACCTGCTGGCCCCCAAATTCTGTTGTAGATATTTAAGTAGCTAAGTCTTAATGAACCCAAAGAATTGTAAACAAATATTAAAATTAACCCATATAAAATTAAAAAAAATACAACTTTTAAAAGGTCTTAGAACAAGGCATGTGAAAGAACAATACAGATACTAAACTTTTTTTTTTTTTTAATTTGTTATAGGGCACATGTGCTGGCCCAGGGAGAAAGTGAGAAAGCACCTCAGGAGGGGTGGCCTTCTCTGGATTTTGGATACACATGAACATGCACCAGGAATGTTTCTCAAGCTGCCGGGGCCAGGGATTTAACCACACAGTTAGCCATGTAAGACCTAGCTGCCTTAACCACTACACCACTGGCTGGCTCAGATACTAAACTTCTAATTCAGACCTTTTTGAGAAAAAACAACAGTAACAAAACTGATGTAATTGAGGAAAATGTTTAGCATTCAATTTTTAAATACTAATTTTTAGTGATAGAATTTTATAAAATAATGTAGGTAAACAGGGAGACATTATATTTGGATTTTTTTTTGGAGAGGTTTTTGCTACAGGACATGTGTGCTTGCCAGAAAGACAGAGAGAGACAGAAAGCGAGAAATCACCCCCCAGGGGGGATGGCCACACCGCAATCCCTTCTGCTCCATTCTCCTCTCGGGATCCTGGGCATGCATGCACACACGCCCAGTGTGAGTTTTAGGCCACTGGGTCTGGGACTCGAACAGCGGTCAACTACATGGGAGTCCAGCGACATAGCCATTACGCTAACTGCTGGCCCCTATATTTGGATTTTTAACTCAGTTATAGTAAGAAAAGTCACGGATTCATTTATTCTTTTAGTCAAGAAGCAATTATTCACTTTCCTAGCTTTGCTAAATTTACAAGACTTTTTTTTAAATAGGTTCTAGCGGGGGAGCACAGCTACTCATATACCCTTGACTGAAGAATGATTCTCCTCTATTGGGGAGTCTTTGAGAGAGCTTGCAGCTTCGGAAGGGATGCATGTGGAGCCACGAGGGAGGAAGGGGACACTGCCTAGTCAGCCAGATCAGCCAAATCAACCTTGGTAATCAATGGGGTGACATGCTGCAGCCAGACTGCCCTCACATTCTACATCATCATATTTTGAATCATGTTTCCAACTATTACTAAGTTATTTTATGAAGGGTAACCACAACTAGACCAATACTAGAGCAATAGACCAGCACATATACACATGCGTTTAAGTCCTAGTTCTGCTAATTATTAGCAGAATGACTTTCAGCAGGTTTGGGCCTTGGTGTCTACATCTGAAAAATGAAGAAAATGCCACATGCTCTTCTCTACCTCATAGCATGGCCATGTGGTTCAAACCTGACGGTGCTTAAAAACTGTAAGACATCACACAGATTCAAGTTGAAAAGGGATACATACAACTGCAGCAAAAGCCAAATCAATGAAGGGGGCAAACCCACAGACTACAATCCCACCCACAGCAATCTTCCAATCAGCGAAACTTTCAGAAAGAGTTCCTCATTGTTTCTTGGGATTTGGGAGATACAGTCTTTCAAATAATCTATAGTTTAAATGACAGATCTTTAGAGTCAACAGTTAATAAGCTAAACTGTACCTACTGTGGAGTACTAAAAAGGGACAGTATAAACACCATACTGAAACATTTAATTAAAAGGTCTTCGTGTTAGATAAACTGGTATATAGATTTCAGGGGTCAACCTGAATACACTGCAATAATATACTCAAGAAGTCACAGACTGCCTGTCTGAAGCAAATGAAGGCATTTCTGCTATAAGGTGAATTTATTATGATTCAAATGATATATTATCATAAGCATGATGAAACTGACAGTGTGATCTGTCTTATGCAGACCACTGCTAGTTACAACCTGATCAGAAGTAGATTATCTTGCACCATGAGTAGGAATTAGAACAAAGAAAAAAGCTGTTGAAAACACAGCTGCTTGGTTTGAGCAACTCTGATATGCCTAGCGTAAGAGACAGAAGGTAACCAGACTGGAAAGGGCTGAGTTAATAACAAAGGCCATCATTCTTGAGCAAAAAAGCTAGATGTAATCAAAGGTAGGCTTTGTTCAGCAATATTCTTAGACTTCATGAATACACACTTATAGGTCTATACAAATTTACTACTGAAATTCCCTCAGGAAATTGGTATTTCAAATTTGACACTAGCACTCTTTTCTAATCAAAATTAATTGTTTTTATCATACTATTTTTTAAAGTGAACGCTTTCTTAGCAACTCAGATATGTATTATAGCAAAACAAACTGTCATGGTATATAACATTCTCAAAAGGAAAATATTTTTAAAGATATAGTATTTAGAATAAAAGATAATTAAGTGAATGTATACTCTTGTATTTTGAGTACTTTCTTACCAAATACGTTCTACTTTGCATGTTTTTCTAAAACAGAGTATAAACAAATATAGGAAGATTTTTCTTTTTTCTGCAATAACATATGGAAGTGATTTAAAAAGCAATAGTTTTCCAATTCCTTTGAAGTACAAAATCTTTAGAAAGTATATATAGATCATGTGTACACATACCTCTGCCATATACTTCAATTCCTGAATGAAAAACTCCAATTCCAATAGATGAGGTGTATTCATTCATCCAGTACTAAGAAAAAAATAAGACAGATTTAGAATGCCTATTTATTTACAACTCAGCTCCACATTATAGCACTCCCCAAATCTTACACTGGATATACAGGTTTTCCCAATCTCATTTCTGGGTATTTCCCCCTAAACTCTGAGACACCTATGATAATGACCCACTTCGCCCTATCTTTGTACCTTTGCTTACATCACACTATGCCAATTGGAATGCCTTCCTGGGTTAAAGTGAATGCCTCACTTTCAGTACATGTACATTACCTAAGGCTTAGAATGTAAAGCAAAAACAAATCCTCATCAGGGTGGAAAAAGGTTGATATAAAAGCTCTCCAGGGGGCCAGCAGGTAGCATGGTGGTTCAGGTGCTGGATCCAACATGGCCAATTCTGGTTTGAGTCCCATATCCAGTAGCTTGAAAATCACTCTGCATGCATGTGCATGCATGCCAAAAGTCCCAAGAGGAGAATGAAGGAGAAGGGACTGTGGCATAGCCGTCCCCTGGGGATGGGCATGGGGATGGGGTGATTTCTTATTTTCTCTCTCTCTGTGTCTTTTCAGGGAGGCACATGTCAAAGGTCAAAAAAACAAAGAAAACCCAACACGTATAATGTCTGCTTTCATAGTTTTCTTCTAAGCTTTTCCTTACATTTGCTAGTGAGCTCTTTGAAGGTATGTTTATTTTATCCTTAATTTTCAACAAATACTTATGACATGTATCATTATGTCCTGATTCAGTTTAAAGTTTGATAACAATAATACTGTGAGTATAAATAAGGAGCCACAAAGGAACAACTTTGTTACCATTAGCATGAAGAAAAACTTCCCAGGAAAGGTAATAGTGAAATAGGATCTTTAGGACAAATGAGATTTACTCAGACAGAAAAACTGGACTGCAGCAGTAGGGGTGGGCATGGAAAGAAATGCCAGGCAGAGGATACATAGATAATGTATGAAATTACAGAGAATGACTGTAAAAGGGGTTAAAGGGGTAGACTACAGGATGTTAAACCTAGATGGAGGCAAATGAGTTAACAGCTCATTAAACGCAGGTAACGCTCAGCAGTGTTATAAACCTATTAGATTTCTCCCAGGTTAGAAGATAATTTGTCTTGGGCCAGTAGGTGACTGACTGGTGGTTAAGGCACTAGACTCCCTCATGATTGACCACGGTTCAAGTCCAAGACCTGGCAGCTTTTTTTTTCTTTCTCTCTCTCTCTCTCTCTCTTTGGTTAGTATGTGTGACTTACAGTAAATTAAAATAATAATAAATCATTCTTTTTTCTTTTTTTTTTGGAGAGGTTTCTTGCTATAGGGCGAGTGCGCTCACCAGACAGAGACAGACAGAGAGATAGAAAGTGAGAAATCACCCCTCAGGGGGGATGGCCACGCCACAATCCCTTCTCCTCCATTCTCCTCTCGGGATCTTGGGCACGCACGCACACGCGCCCGGCATGAGTTTAAGCCACTGGGTCCAGGACTCGAACCGTGGTCGACTACGTGGGAGTCCAGCGACATAGCCATTACACTAACTGCTGGTCCCATAATAAATAATTCTTAAAAAAAGATAATTTGTCTTTAATTATTTTAGGTTTATTCAAGTCTTAACCTTGACTCCAGACCCTTAAGCCAATTTCTCTCAGACCTGTTCATATTATCATATACTGTTGGAAGAAGAAGCATAAATGAACAAGTCAGCTTTTTTTCCCCCTGAAATGTACTAAGAAACATTAAGCAATAATAAAATATTGAAAAAGAACAAGGGATTTTCTCATCTAAATAACAAAATATTCATGAAAATAGCATAGCACTGTTGCAGGCACAGATCTGGGAACAGGACCTACCTTGGGTCTGGTAGGTGGCGTGGTAGTTGACTAAGTATCAAGTCCCAGACCTGGCGGCTTGCTTTGTCACTTTCCATCTCTCTCACTTGTTAAATTAAAAGATAATAACTAAAATTAAATAAATAATTCTAAGAAAAAAAAAGAGATTTAGTGTATGATACAGGTCAGTACAGTTGCCTACCGTTCGTTAACTACAGTTTCGGTTACCTGTAGTCAACTATGGTTTGAAAATATTAAATGGAAAATTCTAGAAATAAACAGCTTATAAGTTTTAAATTGTGTACCAATCTGAGTAATGTAAGGAAATCTCAGGAAGTCTAGGTCCAGGTCACCTAGGATGTGTGAATCATCCTTTTGTCCAGCACACTATGCTGTATACACTACCCAGCCATTAGTCATTCAGTAGCTGTCTTGGTTATCAGATAAACAAAAAAAGTCTATCTGGGGTTCAGTTAATATCTGTGGTTGTAGGATCCACTGAAGTTCCTAGAATGTATCCACAAACGCAATCCCTTCTCCTCCATTCTGCTCTCAGGATCTTGGGCACACACACACACGTGCCTGGCATGAGTTTAAGCCACCAGGTCTGGGACTCAAACAGTGGTTGTAATTCTTGCTCCTCCACTCTCATCTCAGGACTTTGGGCAGGCAAACACAAGCTCCTGGGTGAGTTTCAAGCTGCTAGGTCTGGGACTCAAACCACATTTTGCCATGTGGGAGGTCCAGTGATGTAATCATTACGCCATCTGCTAGTTCCCGTAACTTTCTTTCTATGAGAGAGAGAGAGAGAGAGAGAAAGAGAGAGAGAGAGAGAGAGAGAGAGAGAGAGAGAGAAAGAATATGTGTGCGTGTGTGTACGTAGGAGCATGTAAGAGAAAGCTAATGTGCCAAAGCATTAAAAGCTGGTCAATCTAGGTAAAGGGTAACAAAACTAAGTTGTAAATAACGTATACATAATACTGACGAGTTTGGTTTCTTTGACCAAATTTTAGTCAGGCTCCTGAACTTCCTGATATGTCTGTCTGTGCACCTCCTTGTAAAATTCAGTTTTAGTAAGGAACTCTGATAATGCTTTATAGTTTAACAAAAACTTCCCAATTCCACTACTAGATCACACTCACTATCTGATCAGGTTACTCATCCTCTAGTATTCCTCAGGTGATGTGCTGTTTGATCACCCTGGTCTGTTTTCAGGAAGAATCATGTTAGGTTTGTTTAGCCAGAATCTCCCCTGTCCCTGATGTTTCTGCTTAGTAATTTTCCATCTGCTGACCCCCATCCTGCTCCTTGGGCATAAAGTCTCACTTGCCCATGCTATATTCAGGGTTAAGCCCAATCTCTCTCACTCACTGCAACATTCCATTTTCATGGTCCCTGTACCTATACAATGGTCCTGAGTAAAACTGGTCGTACTGTGCATTAAAATAATTTATAAAATTATAAATTATCTATGACTGCTTTCTTATCATTGTATCAGAGCTGAGAAGTGAGACATAAACTCGAAATACTTACTATCTGACTATTTGCAGAAAAAAGTTTATGTAAGACCCCTGTCTTATGCACATATTTGCTTATTTTTGTAAAAAAGAAATAGATGAGAAAAAAATCAGAAATTCATGAAAGTGGTTACCTACAGGGGAAAGGTTTTTGGAAAGAGGAGACTTCAGAGAATGCTTTTTATATACATTGAATCATGTAAACATTTTACACGAAGTTTAATTTAAAAACAGGAAAAAACCCTCACACCTTAAAGCTGAATTCAAACCAAAATAAATGAACCAAGTTCAGTATCAAATTGATTACCACACATAAAATAAGAAAGAATTTAAGTAACTTCTGAATAGCCTATATGCTCTTAATGAGAATATAATAATTGCCTATATGTCTCTATATTCTTTATATATATATATTTGAAAGAATTATTTAATTTTATTAATTATTATTGTTAATTTTATTAATTGTTATTATTATTATTAATTTGACTAGCAAGAAACATATACAAAAGGGAAAATGATAGAGCAAGCCACCAGGTCTGGCACTTGAACCAAGGTCAGTCATGTGGGAGTCTAGTACCTTAACTACCACACCACCTGCTGGCCCTTAATGAGATATATTCTCTTTTTTTTTTTTGGGGGACGCTTGGGGGTGCTCCGTGGTTTTTGCTATAGGGCATGTGCGCTTGCCAGGAAGACAGAGAGACAGAGATAGAAAGTGAGAAATCACACCCTGGGGGGATGGCCACAACGCAATCCCTTCTCCTCCATTCTGCTCTCAGGATCTTGGGCACACACACACACGTGCCTGGCATGAGTTTAAGCCACCAGGTCTGGGACTCAAACAGTGGTTGTAATTCTTGCTCCTCCACTCTCATCTCAGGACTTTGGGCAGGCAAACACAAGCTCCTGGGTGAGTTTCAAGCTGCTAGGTCTGGGACTCAAACCACATTTTGCCATGTGGGAGGTCCAGTGATGTAATCATTACGCCATCTGCTAGTTCCCGTAACTTTAGAGAGAGAGAGAGAGAGAGAGAGAGAAAGAAAGAATATGTGTGCGTGTGTGTACGTAGGAGCATGTAAGAGAAAGCTAATGTGCCAAAGCATTAAAAGCTGGTCAATCTAGGTAAAGGGTATAGATTGCATTCTTCTTCATCTTTTTGGGGAAGATTTAAAATTTTTCAAATAAGGTTGATGGAGTGTGTGGTGGTGCAGTGGCAAAGTTCTGTGAGGTTCATCCACATGGGAGGATTTCAGAGACCTCCCTGAGTATGCTGGGTATTGTGTACCCATGATCTGGGGCTGGCTAATGCTGGGAGAAGGGTAGATCACGGTGTCAGGACTCTGTTGGGGTTGCTCTTTCTCTCTCTCTCTCCCTGTCTTACAGAAGAAATAGACAAAATAAACTTAAAGAAAAAAAAAAAAGACTAGTCCTATAACCAGAATGGTCTATTCCATAACCTAGTGGTTAAAAGAATGGCCAGTCCCAAAATCTGGTATTTAAAGGGGACCAGATACCATATGATCAAGTATAGCTTGAATTCCAGCCCTGGTGGCGTGTAAAACATGCTGGGCCTGTATGTGTGTGCATGCCCCCAATTCCAACAGGATGGAGAAAAGGAGGAGAGGGATTGCAGCAGGACCACACCTTACTGGGGAGGGGGGGGGGGTT